GCGCGTAAGCGCGGAGCCGCTGCCGGACTGGCTCGAGAAGCAAGCGCCCGCCGCGGAGGAGGTGCCCGCGGATCGCTTGCCGCTGCACGCGTTTCGCGCTTTCTTCGACGCGGATAGGCCGCTCGTCATCCGCGCGTGCGCCGCAGGGTGGCGCGCTACGCAGGCGTGGCCGAATCCGGCATACCTCGCGCGGTTGTGCGGCGCGAGGACCGTCCCCGTTGAGTGCACGGACGGCCGCGACGCAGACATGCGCGAGCGCTTTTGCGACGTCGCGGAGCTGCTCGGGGAGATGCTCCGCCCGCCGGCGGAGGCCGCGGGACGCAGGCTGTATATGGCCCAGCACCCGCTGTTTGACTACGTCCCCGCGCTCGAGGACGACGTAAGGCAGCCCGAGTATATCCGCGTCGCGGGGAAGAGCCGCGCTGACTTGACCAATGTCTGGATGGGCACCGCTGGCAGCGGCTCCAACCTCCACTTCGACTCCGCTGATAACTTGCTTGTCCAGATCGTCGGCGAGAAGCGCGTCGTCCTCGTCGCACCCCACTTTTCCAAGTGCTTGTACCCGCGCGAGGAGAGGCCCAACGTCTCCCCCGTGCGTGTCGACGCACCCGATCTCCACGCATTTCCGCTCTTTCGCAACGTCCACGCCCAGGTCCTCCACCTCCGCCCGGGCGACGCGCTTTACATCCCGCCCGCCCACTGGCATTGGGTCCAGTCCATCACGGCATCCATCTCGGTAAACTTTTGGTTCTAATCATTCATCACCACAACCGTGGGTCATTATCTGTTTCTATAAAAAAAATTCCCTCCCTTTTCATCATCATACGCCCCTCTCCCCATCTTTCTCCGATCCACCCCCTACGCGCGCCCGTCCTCCGCTCGCCCCGACGGCCTCCGCACCGCGCCCGCAGGCACCCGTTCCGCGATGCCCACCCCCGCCAACGGCGATGCCCCGCCGCTTTTCCTGCTCCCCTTCACGGAGGTCGCCGAGTGCCTCCTGCGCGACCCCCTGCCCTCGCCGCCTCCCGCCGACGACTCGCGCCCCGACCCGCGCGCCCCGCCGCGCTTTGCGGCCTGCGAAATCGCCCGCACGACCAGCTTGCCGTTAGAGAACGGCGAGCGCGTAGCCCCCGAGCCCCGCGTGTTCACCGTGCGCGCCGGCGACTTTGTGCTGCTGCGCCCGCGCGACAACTCGCAGCGCCCGAGCGTCGGCGAGGTCGCCCACTTCTGGCGCCCCGCCAAGCCGGGCCCCGCCCCGACCCACTACGCACGCGTCAGGTGGTACTACCGCGCAGAGGACCTCGCCGAGTGCCCCGCCGAGACGTTTGGCGAGGACGAGCTGTTTGAGACGGAGCACTTCGATGACGTCGAGGTCGATGTCGTCGCGGGGAGGTGCGCCGTTACGTCGTACCATGAGTGGCTCTCGGCGATGCTGCGCGCGCGGGAGCCCGATGCGGGGGAGGACCCGCAGGGGGGAGCGCGTGGGGGGAAGGACCACCGGAAGGGCGCCGCGCCCCAGGCCGTTGCGGAGGAGGAGGAGGAGGAGGAGGAGGCCCCCGACGATATGAGCGATACGCAGAGCACTTTTTGTGACAACTACACCTCCGCCGCTGTGCGCTACTACTGTCGCAAGTTTTACGACCCGATCAGTCAAGCGTTTGTCACATCGAGCATGGAGGACAAGGATGCCCATCCTTCGGAGCAGCTGAGCTACCGCAGGAAGAGGGAGGACTTCCCTGGGGGGGAAGAGTCGGATGTCTCGGCCTCGGTGGGCGACGAAGAGTCGGACTTTGCAGATGACGATGAGCAAGAAGAGGAGTGGGACGGGAAACGGCCGGGCTCGAAGCGAGGGCGAGGCACGCGACGAAAACCGAGGAAACTGGCGAGAGCGGATGGCGGTAAGCTGGCGAGGGCGTCCCAGTTTGCCCTGCCGTCTGATGTTGGCGCACCGGACATGTTGCCGTGTCGGGACAAGGAGAAGGAGCATGTGCGCAAGTTCATCGAAGACGCGATCAGAGAGAGCGCGGAAGGGATTCACGGCGGTTCGCGATGCCTGTACATATGCGGCGTGCCGGGGACAGGGAAGACGGCGACGGTGCGGGAAATCATTCGCGACTTGTCGCGCCAACGGGCAGCGGGAGAAGCCCCGCCGTTTGAGGCCCTGGAGATCAACGCGATGAGCTTGTCAGACCCCAACTTGGTTTATTGCGAGCTGTACAAAGCTATCACGGGCTCGGAGGGGTACTCGCCGTTGCACGCGGCGCAGATGCTTGAGAAGAGATTCTCCGACGCATCGGTGGGTACAGAAAAGCGGTCCACGGGGCGGGTGGATAGACCGACCGCGAGGGAAAGGGGCAAGTGCGTGTTGCTGATCCTGGACGAGATGGACGTACTCGTCTCTCGCAAGCAGAAAATTTTGTACGATGTGTTGGAATGGCCGACACGAAAGAATGCGCGGATGGCGGTGATTGGGATCTCCAACACTTTGGACCTTCCCGAGCGGATGCTTCCCCGTCTAGGGTCGAGACTGGGAGTTAATCGGGTGACCTACCCTCCATACACAAGCGATCAGCTCAAGGTTATTCTGCAGCTGAAACTGGAGAATATCAAGGACGTGACATACAAGAGCGGAGCGTTGAACCTATGCGCGACAAAAGTGGGGGCAGTATCCGGGGATGTGCGGCGGGCATTGGAAATCTTACGGCGAGCAGGGGAAGTGGCGACGAGGGAAGGCAAGCAGGGGGAGAACACAGTCACGGCCACACACGTGCACGCTGCGATCCAGGACATCTCGGGTCGGTCAAGGCTAGCGACATTGGGACAACTCTCCGATTTTGAGAAACTTTTCCTCCTAAGTGCGGTGGTGTTGGCCCGCAACCTTGGTTCATTTGCGGTAGACGTCACAAGCTCCATGTCTTCTGTGACGTCGCGCGCGCTCACGAGCGCGCGTCGGCATGCCAAACAACTAGGCGACGAGGACATCCCGTCGGTGCGTGAGCTGGAGGAGGCGTGCTTTCGACTCGCGAGTCAGCGTATCGTCCTGGTCGACAAGGCAGCGGTGTTTAAGCAGAGCCGAATCATCGTCAATGTATCGGGGGATGATTGCGCGTTTGCGCTCAGAGACTGCCCTCTGTCGAAGAAGCTGCTCGCGGAGACGTGAGAAGATGCGCGCAACATCTCTGCTCGCTACGCGCATAATGCCAACTCTGCCAGGCGCAGCCTCGAGGGATACGGCGCGGCTTTTTTTCTGCTGCTACCAAACTCAAGCTCTCCGCTTAAACGTCATCCCATAACTTTGCTAACATGTTTGGTTCCGCTGATAGCCTTTTGGGCGACGTTTTATTCTAATCCGTATTTTTTTCCATTTTCAGTTTTTATCTCTTGTTGAGATCAAACAGGCTCCCATAGTCACTGACGCACGACAAACTAGGCGTAGTTTCACAAACTCTCGTCGACTGCATCCCACCTGCACGGGCCACCACACTCATCGTCCGCCCCCGTCGACTTGTCGTAACAATCCGAACACGCAAGCAGACCACTCCGCTGCGTCATTTTTATCAAAGCCATGCAACCAGGAAGCGACCTCACTCCTGCCTTTTCCCGCCCCGTTCCCCTCTCAGTAACACATGCTCGACGCACTTCCGCGGCACAACGTGTCTGCCCTTCATCCAAGTCCCGGATCGTTATGGGCCACGCAACCGTGTCATCAGTGACAGCGGCGGCAGCCCGTCGCGGTTTCCATTTGAAAGACGACAGCCTGGGGCCGCTTTTGAACATGAGTCTATACCGCAAGGATGCCGAGCCCGCCTATGCCGGGTCTATTACAGGCGCCGTGCTTCCCAACAGCCGCCTGCACATCGAGGCGTACAAAGCTGCGCCGCGTGCACGGCGTGGTGGGCTGCTGGATGTGTCCCCCGGCATGATGCTGTTTATCGCCGCGCTCGCGTTTGGGCAGCAGAACGGTGCCAAGGGCGTGTACGGGTTGGCGATTAATGACGCACCGGATCAACACCGCCGCCTACTTCGATACCTCAAGCGGTTTGGCGGTCACGAGGTGAAGCGCGTCACGGGGTCGCTAGCTGATGTCCCCGCTCGGATGTTTTACGGCGGCATTGGAACCGTAATTCGAGGAGATATCGATCAGATGCTGACAAGAGGCCAGGGCATGCTTGAGCGGACGACCCCGATCATAGCCCCCTTGTTAAACTGAGCCTGTTTGTTTTCCGCCTCTTCTCAGCATAAACTATATATTATTTACAATGCCTCAGCCTTTGACTAAGCTGCAGGATACGAAGGCAACCTCATCAACTGTACATCCCCTTTGTCGTTGCCGATGGCGAAATACCCCCCTTGCGGGCTGAATCTAAGACTGCATGCTCTGCGCACGTTGGCCCTAGCCGTCGGCCAGTTGGCATACACTGTCATTGTTGGAATGTGGACGATCTTGACCGCGTTCTTCTTGTCGTGGGAGCTGAAGGCAAGTAGCTTGCCATCGCAATTGAAAGTCGCCCTGTCAATCGTCGTAGTCAGATTCAGAAAGCTCTTTCTGGGCTTCTCCGTCCGCAACCCAAACACAGGCAGGCTGTCACTAGACGTCCTCATCGCTGACGATGAATATACATTCACAACGCCAGAATCCGACCCTAACGCGTAGTGAGCGCTGGAAGTAGCGAGACAGGTGCTGTGAATCGCGCCTTCATCCTTGTGTCGATCGATGCAGTCCATGCGCCGGATGTCCCACAGATACACCGTCCCATCCCGTGAGGCCGCGTAAATATGATTCTCATTCGCCCCTTCCGCGGCAAACGCCACACAAGCCACACGTGAATTGAGGCGCAGCTGCCCAATTTCGCGCTTGGACTTGTTCGACAAAAGCACAATCTTCCCCTGCTGACCCAAGAACGCCAGCTTGCTCCCGTCCGGCGACACCTCAAACCTTTCCCACGCCCGCTCTGGATGCGACGACAGCGAATGCATGGTCATGATACGACCGGTATCCATATCAAGCTGATGAAAGAAGCGGCGACGGCCAGCCATGATGACCTGAGACCCTCCTCCCGTAAACTTGGCGGTGTGTATTGGAAAATTAGTCAAGTGCAAGCCCTGCACTTTGGGGTTCTTGACGCCGTCGACTTGGAATATACGCAACGTCTTGTCGAGGCCTGCTGTGAGCAGCAGGCGTCCGCTCGGATGAAACTCAACGCTCCTCGCCTCCGCCTTGTTCGGGTCCTCCTGATTTGCATTGGTGACGCGGCGCAAATTGAGCACGCCAGGCCGTAGCGGAGCGGCGACCTGATCGACGATTCCCGCGCCCGCCGCTCGTCTGCGGCTCTTGAGCAGGCGAGTAGTTGTCCTAAGCAATGCGTTGACGTCAGTGGACGGGATTTCCTCTTCTTCTTCGCTATCAAGCACTAACGAGCCCTCCTTCTTCCTTTCCGACGGCAAAGTCGCCCAGCTCCCCTTGGAGGCGGCGACTCCACCCGGCGCGGGTGTGATGGCCTCCTGATACATCCCCCTGACGCGGCGCTCGTACTCGACGGCTGAGACGTGTGTTTCGCCAACGGCCGTGCGCAGCTTCCTACGTCGCTTGACCGTATGCAGATCGACCTGCGGCAGGTCATCGTCGTCGTCGTCAACCCAGACCGCTTTCCTTCTGCCGCTGGTTGGCGGCGGCACGTTGGATCGGGCGGCACCGAAGACTTGGATGGGGGCGTCCTGTGCTTCGTCATAGCGGTTTTCGCGCTCGGACGGACAGTCTGAATCGGAGCCTGCTTCGTTCTCGTGTTGGTGTGGATGTGTGTCGGCAGGTTTGGCTGCGATGTCCTCATCCGGTTTGGTACCATCCGGTTTGGTACCATCCGGTTTGGTACCATCCTGGGGGGCCTGTTGACGAGCTTTTTCGCGGCGGGTACGCGCAGCACGTCTCTTTCGCTTGTCGGCATTCAGATGCGAATCCCCAGGCGCGGCATCGGCCTTGATGTTTTTAGCTTGCACGGGGTCCGGCAGACTCGATGCCTGAGCAACATGTCCAGGGCCAGGTTCGCTGTCGGTGCCCGAGCGCGAACCAAGTCGGTCCTCGAAGAAGAGCGGCTGCGACATGGTGCAAACGAGGTCGTGGATGCGTGAACGAGACAAGTGGTGTGCGACAGGGATGGGAATGGGAATGGAGGGGAAAGGTGAAACGTGTCGATGAAGCCGTCGGCGGTGGCGTACCAGTTTTCCGTACCTCGGTCTCAACAGAACAGTACGAAAATTAGAAACGCATCAAAGAAATTGATGGAAAAGGGTAATTGATGGGCCGCAAGCGCTCCACACGCGCACGTGGCCACGTGCGTACGGCAACCATTTGACTTATGACCTGTGGACAAGGTTCCAACGCCTGAGCCAATAAACAAGCGGCGACGCCACCTCAAGCGCGCAGGGGCGCAGGGTTTTCCCCGAGCCGAAACGCCCTGCCGTACACCCACCCGCATAATCTCGCTGCAATCCCTCTGCACAATTCCCCGCCCCCGTTGCCGCACATATCCCCGTGTGCCCCTTCGCATCCGTCCCGCTCCCTGTCCGCCACCATGAATCCCGTCCGACGGGCGTGCGCGTTTTGCGCTCCGCTCGCCCTCCCGCGCACCCCCTTGCTGCCCCACTCCGCGCTCCCCACCGCCGCCCCGCCGCCGCGCGCGCCTCGCCGCCACCGCGCGCGGCCGCCGTGCGCGCCGCCGGCCACGCCGAAGCGGCGGCGCCCGTGCGCGCCACGCATGGCGCTGCCGAACAACCCCAACGACAAGATGAAGGGGCAGGCGGCGGACGCGGTGCTGTCCGTGGGGCGCTTCCTGCAGTCGCCGACCGGCCAGATCGTGCTGTGGGCGGGCCTCATCTGGCTCGTCATCACGGGGCGCATCGGCGTCCTGTTCGACTCATTCCTTATCCTGTTCGCCGTGGTCAGCATCGTGCCCGTCGTCGCCATCCTCGGCTTCCGGTGGTGGGTCAACAGGCAGCTGGTGCAGGGCACGTGCCCCAACTGCGGCGCCCAGGTTACAGGGCTGCGCAACCAGCCGTTTCAGTGCACCACGTGTGGCAACACCGTGCAAGGGGAGAAGGGCGACTTTTCGGTCAAGGATCCCTCCACCGCCACCATCGATATCGACGCAACGGAGATTTCCGACTCATGAATCCTCACGTCGCCAACCATACGAGCCTCCCGCAGCGTCCTTCGCGTGGCGCTAATAAATATCTTCATTGTCTATTTTGTACACTATCACTTTAACAACGCAAGCACCTGCGCCGCCGCCTCCCTTACGTCCACGTCCTCATCCTCATCCTCAACGCACCCCTTCGCCACGCCCCCCACCTCTGCCATCACCTCCCTCCACCCCCCGGCCCTGAGCACCGCCTCTGCGAGCGCGAACCCCCTCACCACGCATCGCCTCTCTTCTCTCCCTTCCCGCATCACCACCGCCTCCCCCAGCACGCGCGCGACCTCCGCCCGCTTCTCCTCGAGCTCGCGCTGCGCCTCCGCGTTCTGCGCCACGGCCACCAGCGCGCGCAGCGCGGCGGCCCGCATGCCTACCACCCCCCTCCCAGCCTTCTCCAGCAGCTTGGTCACTCCGCCGGCCGCCACGGCCCGCTCCATCACGGGCGGGTTGTTCTGCGCGCACGTCGCCACCGCCTTTACCGCCAGCACCGCCACGTCCTCCTCCGCCGTCGCCGCGAGCCGCAGCAGATGCCCCACCCCGCCCGCCGCGGCCACCTGCCGCCCGTTGTCGCCCGACCCGCACAGCGCCTCGATCGTCGCCACGGCGTCGCGCACGGCGTCGCCGCGGGCGCCAGTGGCCAGCGTCTTGGCGGCGCGCGTCACGACCGCCAGCTCATCGTCCTCTGATGCGAAGTCTAGCACGCTCTCGCGCTCGTCGCTCGCGGGCGCGGCGGCCACGCCGAGGTGCGTGCGAGCCGCGCGGAGGGCTTTGTTGACGCTAGACCCCAGGGCGCTAGCGGCGGAGGGGCGGTTCACCCACTGCTTGTAGGCGTTTTTCCACACGTCTTGGGCTGTGTCCGCCGAGGGCGGTGCGGCCGGGAGGTCGGCCGTGGCATCTTCGGCAAGGACTTGCGCAGTGGACAGGTCTTGCGCTTGCGAGGCGGCGCAGAGGACGCGATCTTCTGTGTTAGTGGCGGCGCACGATGTTTCGGCACGCCTGCGAGGGGTAAGCAGAAGGAAAGCTGTTACGAAGAGCAGGATGTACGTCGGGGACATGGTGGGGGTGGATGGGGAACGTTGAACTTTAAAAGGCGGTCGAAGTTGAAGGCGGTCGTAGGAGAAAACAACAGTAACGAGTACAAAACGGCCGGGAAGTACATGTGTCCACGTGGTCCAGTTGTACACCTGCGATCTGGTGGGATCAAAACGAAACGTTGAACACGTGTTCCAAACGTGCAAGCCGCCCTTTGTCTCCACAGCCCAGTAGCGATCCTAGCTAGATCATGTCTCCTCTCTTCCGCGCCCGCTCGTACACCCCAAACATCACCATCAACAACCTCACCCTCCCCCACCTCCCTCCATCGTCAATGTCTGCGATCGACGTCAGCCGCCCCCACTTGCAGCCGCACCATGTCCTCCGCTGACCTTTGCCTTCAGCGCGCGCATGCTTACCTTCAGGATGCTCGCGACATCCACGTCGACACGCTGACCCGAGTCGAGGCCCTCGACGCCGCCCGCGCTGCCCTCCTCGATGCGCACCGCGCCCGCGCCCCGTCAGCGCAAATCCTCCCGCATTTCACCGCTCTCTGCGAGCATGCTGCCTCAGAGCGCGCCCACCCGCTCCGTGCCGTGCTGCCCGCCGCCGTCGAGGACCTTGTAGCCCGCGACATGCCCAGCTTCGCGCAGGCTGCCACCCCATTTTTGGCTCGCGCCCTGCATGATGACAACTTCATCGTCGCCGCTAGAGCCGTCAAATCGCTTACTCGGTTGTTTCGGAAAGTCATCGGCTTTGTCGTGGCCAGCGGCGTCGGGGACGGGGACGGCCGCTTTTCCCAGGCCAACGTGGCCGTCTGGCTCCAGATGCAGCAAAAGGCTCTTTCCTTGATCGCGGCGAAAGATGAAGGATTGAGGAAGGCCTGTGTCAAGTTTGCGGAGACCGTCGTCTTGGCCTTCACGTTTTCGGGCAGCGCGGGATCGCCCGACCATTTTACCCTCGACTATTTGGTCAAAAAGGGATCCGACTGTCCGTTGTTGGAGCCACGAGCCTTGGAGGAGGAAGGGATTCGTTGCGTAAAGGCTATTGCCCAGCTGCTGCATCACAGCCTGGAGGGGAGTGTGGTCACCGCGAGGCCAGATGGAAGGGAAAGCGTGCGCGGACTGCCACCCATGTCATTGATGACCGCCATTTCAGTGCTGAGTAATCTTGTGCGTAGGCGAAGGAAAATTCTTGAGTTTACGCTCCCACCGTTTCTCAACGCCGTTGCAGCCATTACTAGCGGCAGCAGGCGTCCCACGACCCCGCAGGGCATTTTGCAGCTCACACCGAGCCAACGTCACAGCATCATTCATGTATTGCGCTTCAATTTGCTCGCGTTGCGCCCCTACCCGCACACGAGGTCTGGCAGGGCAGGCGCCGATATCATGCAAGCGAGCGCCGATTTGGAAGCGCTGGAGCGCGAGGAAGAAATGCAACGGAAGGAGAGAGCATCTAAGCTCGCCGCGATATCGGCGCGCGAACGTGCGGAGAGGGAAGCGGCTGTCGAAGCAGATAAGCGTCGCGCAGCAGCTGGTGCTGCTGCGGCTCACATGCAACCGGCACCTTCCATGAGGCGCGGAAGGGAGCCCACGAGTATGGGACCGCCGTGGCCACGGCTCCCACCGAAGGAGGCGTACGCTGTGGCACAGGCTATTATTCAGAGTAAGCCACCCCATGAAGTGGTAAACTTTATTATCTCGGCACTATTGCACCACATCCCACCAGCGGAAACTGTACCAGGCGCGAAACGCCCGCTCCAAAAGAGTCGCGCTAAAGTCGAGCAGACAGGAGCAGAGGAACCTGCAATGAAGAGGCCTCGAAAGTCTAGATTCGGAGCAAAGGACCCGGACCGCCCCATGCACGAAGCGATTCCGCCGCCCCCTAAGAAGAAGGTCGCCGTCGTACGGAAGGTCGCCCCTGCCGTAGGTCCAGTCAAGCTTACTTCTACCACCGTTGAGAAGCTGGTCACAGTTTGTTGTCGGAGAATACTCAAGAAGGAACCTCAGGCGATTGCAAGCGGAGCAGGACCCATGCGAATACAACTTCTAGCGCGGCTACTGACCAGACTTAGCCAACAAGACCAAGGCACGACTGCACGACAATTTTGTGAAGAAGTTTGCGCTTTTATTGCTGCTACCGTCGAGCACAATATGCCTCTAGCACAGGCATGGCTCTTCAAGCTTGCTTGTGAAGCAGAACTGACGAAGATATCGCACGATATCCGCTCTGATATACCGCTCCTGAAAACGGAGGCAGAGGAAGAAGGTACAAATAGAGCTGAAAAGGGCAGCGACGACACCACTGCCACTGTGGCCCTAAAAACGCAGCCAGTTGCCGAAGTTATCGTCAAGTCGGAGCTTGTAACGGATTCTTGTGCTACTGCAGAAGTCGCCTCAGCCGTTCAGGACAAAGAAGAAGCTCCGGAAACAAAGCCGACTGCAAAAGCAGAAAACGAAGTGAAGGATGACAAGGTTGCTAGAGGTGATAGTAACACTGCAGTCGAAACGGACCAAAAAATGGCGAACGACACAAGCAGTGAAGAGTTAGTAGCCGACGTTCTGGTTCCTCTTTCTGTCAATGAAGGATATGGTCGTATCTTTCACCGCTTGTTGGAGCTTTTGGCTGACAAGCAGCCATTTGTTGGTGATTCTTACTCGCAAATGATTTGCGAGGCCCCGATGCTACCTCAATCTGTATTTGACACACTCAAAAAGTTCTGCTATGATCCCTCGAAAATCAAAATTGGACTTCACACTCTTCGAGACATTGTTTTACAGAGACCAGGAGATGACAGGGCTAAATGCCTTTCCCTTCTTTTGGGCTTCACAAATCATGAGGACGAGGTGCTGCGGGGTCCCTCAATTCGGTTGGTGGCGAACAAAATTTTTGCAGAATGCGTTGGTGAGGTGCCCGAGGCAATCGAAAAGCACGCAGTGGATTCCCTCAACACAGCCATTGGGAGGCTCTCTGAGAAGCCGACAGCCGACGAATTTAGCAATGTGGAACGAGCCTCGTTGCTCTTAACGGCGCTTTGTGGGCAAAAGCATGAATTGCTGCGCGAAATCGCTGCATCATACATCTCTATGCAATCTGCAGCCAGGCAGACTCTGCTGCAGCGGGCCAAGGATCTCGCAGGTCACCTTGGCATGGCAGCCGTTCCAGTTATTCAGCTCATTGCTGGCAAGCTATTGCCAGTTCAGCCAGCAGCGGATGGGGACAGCTATGGAACAGATGGGCTCGAAGTCTTGGCCCTGGAAGTCCTTAGGGCTCTTCTCAAAAAGTTCGGACGGCCAACCGAAGAAATCGTTGATGCCGCTCGTACAAGGTATGATCTTAGCGGCAACACGGCATTTGTTATTGCAGTTCTTCCAGGATTGCGTAAGGATTCTTTGCTCAAATATTTGGCTGCGATTGTCAGCTCGGTGTTCAGTACGTCAGAAGTTGCAGAAAACGGATCTGGAACGGAGAGAATCGACCATACAATTGATACATCGAAGACGACTGCTGGGTTTAAAGAAATCATTGGAATTGTTATGGGTTCAAGGCCGCCTGCCCTCTCGCCCTCAGAGCTTCTGTTTGAACTGCACAACATTGAGCCCAATCTAGCGGTCATCAGTGCCATTCGGGCTTGTTTCGAACTGAAGAGCATTTACAAGCAGGACGTTATAGCGCAAGCAATCCAGCAACTCATTGAAAAGACGGTGATCCCAGACTTGCTCATGCGAACGGTTAACTTGGCAAGAATATATTACTCCGAACTCGAAAAATATTTGACTGGAACAGTTCTGAAGCGTCTCATCGAAAAGCACGTCTGGAAAAACGAACTCCTTTGGGAAGGGTTTTTAATATACTGCGCGCAGGTGAAGGACAAGTCATTCTTCAAACTTCTACTGAGTCTCCCCGCACCTCAGCTGGCTGAGGCGCTGCGCAGGCAGGAAGACTTGCTGACGACATTCAAGGGTCTCTTTTCAAATCCGAAGAATCTGAGGAAGGTCTCATCCGTCAAGCATCGCAAGGTAATTCAAGCAGCGATTAAAAAACCTGCGAAAGACTCGTGATACGCCATTTGAGTGGCTCTGTGGCACAGTTTGACATATTTGATGAATATTAGACACGATCCGGTGTGTCCTGGTCGTGCGATAAGAAACACAGCTTGCGGTCAATCGATGGTAGCATTATGTTACTTGCACCTCGGCTGATGTACTGAAAAGGCGATTGGGTGGCCATGGACATATTGTTGTCCTTCCAAAACCCAACACAACTCGTGGTTTTGCTATTCGTTGTTTCGCTTATACAATCTCTCAGGGCCATGCCCGTTGTGTGAGTACAACCCTTCTACGCATCCCCGCAAGAAATTGACGCCAATAACTGAGACTAATAAGGGAGTTCGAGAGCGCTTGAAGACTCCGTGCAGATACTGATGAGTGTGATGAACTTCTATGATCGACCGTGGGACCGAGATATCTATGCAGTGCAGAACGTCAGCATCAGAACCTGCATGATCCCAGAGTAAACAGCACTGTCGATGACCGAACACAGAGCCGAGGTCGTGCTGGCGAGGAATCATTGGCTGTTCCTTTGATATCCTCGCTGGACGGGAAGGCCAGTTCCCGTCCAGCAACGTCCAGAGAAGGAAGTCCGCCGCTTGTGAAGGACGATTAGTCTTACTCCAATTAGATAATTATTCCATCATCCTTCGTACTGGCTGTAGATACTCGCCATCCTGGTTTATGATCATACCGGTGAAATCCCGGATTGATGGCTCGGAATGAACGCATCGAGGTGATTAACCCTGCGAAATAATCACCCTAGATCAGCATGGATCGAAACTGATGTGTCCCCTCTTGCCGTCTTGATTAAGATGGTATGCGGAGCGCTTGCTCGTGAGCCTCACAGTAATTTTATCAGAGATGGAATTCGTATCACCTCTCTTTCGAGTTTTTATATTCACATCACAGTCGATAGCGTTGCATTCAGAGGAGTACTTGTATGGACATCGTGGTAGCTGTTTCGGGTTTTAAAGAGTGTCTTGTGTTCACCTGCTCCGACTTGGAAGGTACAGTAGTACTTCGTATACGCAACCTCGAACACTTCTTTCGCGTGGTGCGGATCTATTTCGTGGACGTTTAATTCATATTGACACGTGTGCGTCGTGTACAATACAATACCGACTACAGTACTGTACCTGACAGGCACAGGCTACCTGTGCCTTGTTCCGGTATGGGAGAAGAATTGCCACGTATTAACTCGAACTGCTGATTAATTGTTTTTAGTCATTTTCAATTTCTAAAGGATAGTTACGGCAAAACTGATTGGGTGCTCAACGCAATGCGACAGCAAGCTGGAGGCAAGCTTTTCCGCATCGGCAATCCCGGTGCCGCCACCCATCCACACGATCGAGCACAACTCTACCGCTGCTCAATTGCGATCCACAACCTTCGCTCCCCTCTCAACGCGTCTCACCCCACAGATTCGTTCCCTAGAGCAAGTGTACCGCCCCCCACACTGCCATGGCGAAAGATCTTGACATGAAAGACGTCGCCAACACTGCGGGCAAGGATCAGAAGAACGATGAAACCAAACCGGAGCCTTTTAAAGAAGAACCGCTCAAGATAAGCGCCATCGAGCTTCTTTCTACCGGTACGTAATCCGTGCGTCTCTGCGCCTTTATTATTTGACATTCCAGTACGAGCTGACCGCTGCATATCACTACGCTACGTCAATTGGCGGTCTCTATCGTCACAGATATTCGGAAGAACATCGGTGTTCTGGAAAAAGCCATCCACGCGAAAGAACTACGCCTTCTCTCCCGCGTCCTCCGTAGTACGGGAAACATCCGGAAGCGAATTTCACCTCAGCTGCTCAGTCGCACCATCAAATGCTACGTCCCGGACACTTACTACCATAAGGCAGTGCTCTTGAATTCGCTTTCGGCGGCTCCGAATGTGAGCAACGGATCCAAAATGGACGTGGATGAGAAACCGCCAAGCGACGAAGGGAAGAGCAAATTTGCTCCCAACACAAACTACGACCTCCTCGACACGCCGGCCACGACCACCACGCCGGAAGTATCCGCCTACATGCACCTACTTACGGTACTCGTCCTCCTCGACAAAAAAATGCTCCCGGATGCCGTGAGCGCTAGCAGGACCCTCGTCGAATCGCTCTCCGTTTTCAATCGCCGCACCATGGACGAGATCAACTCTAGGGCCTACTTTTACTTTGCGCGCACCATTGAACTATCTGGCTCGATCGCCTCGATCCGCTCAACGTTGCTTGCGGCTTACCGAACGGCTACCTTACGTCATGACGCGGCCAGTCAGGCTGTGTTGCTCAACTTGTTGCTGAGAAATTACATCTCGTACAATTTGTACGACCAGGCCGACAAGCTGTTGTCCCGTGCTAAGTTTCCGGAAACGCGTAGCAACAACCAACTCGCTAGGTATTTGTACTACAACGGCCGTGTCAAGGCAATGCAATTAGAGTACTCGGAGGCACTGTGGAATTTGCAGCAAGCATTGCGGAAGGCGCCGCAGAATGCGGCACTCGGGTTCCGTCTTTCGGCGCAAAAGTTCATGATCATTGTGCAACTGCTGACTGGAGAGGTACCCGAAAGGGAAATTTTCCGACAGAGTCAGATGCAGAGGGCGTTGCGTCCGTATCTTAGTATTACGCAAGCTGTGCGGAGTGGAGACATGCAGAAGTTTAAGCAGGTTTTGGATGGATCACATGACGAGTTCGTCTCTGACAATACGTACTCTCTTATCATTCGGTTGAGGCACAATGTGATCAAAACTGGGTTGAGAATGCTGAGCTCATCGTACTCGCGCATTTCCCTTGAGGAAATTTGCCGGCGTCTCCATTTAGATTCGGCAGAAGATGCAGAGGGTGTTGTCGCCAAGGCGATCCATGACGGTGTGATCGATGCAGTGATCGATCACAAGGAAGGATTCGTGCGATCAAATGAAACGATCGATGTGTACTCCACGACAGAGCCGACAAATGCGTACCACAGTCGAATTCAGTTCTGCCTCAACGTGTACAAGGAGGCAGTGCGGGCGATGCGATTCCCCGAAAAACGCGAGGACGAAGAGACGCCCGAGCAAAGGAGAGAAAGACTGAAGGAACAAGAGGAGCTTGCGAAGACGCTCGCCGAGGAAGAGGATGAAGACTTTGAGCCTTAACTTTTGTGTCGTATTGTTTGTAAAGCTATGAAAGGATGAGGATTGAGATAATTGTTAAGGGTGCGTAGTGGTTCCGTAGTCTTTTTCTGAGTCAGCGGACAAGTAGCCAGCAGCAAGGAGAGCTGAATTCAGCGCTTCACTGTTGGCATTAAGTACATGGCACGCGTTTGCGGAGACTGAAAGCGCACTCAGGGGGATGAGATTGTCTTACATTGTGGTTGCGACAAGGACATTTATTCCGTAATTGAAGGTGAGGCGATGGCTCTACGCGGCTATTGCGCAGGTGCAGTAAAGATGATGCGATAGAAGGCGTACAATTTGCTATTGCTTTTCTCAATGCCATGTGCGCGCAGTGCGTCCTCTTCATGTCTTGCGACCGAAATGTGCTCCCAGCATCGTTCTTGTGTCATTGTTTCAGACCAAGTGAGAGTGAAAAGATCAAAGCCATATATGATACTTACTACAGTAGAATCATAACGACTGTTGTTGACAACATCAGGGACTGGAATTACGAGTCTGCGAATAGGAAGCACCGTATTTGCGACACTGGGGAATGGCTATTTGACACATGAATGAATTTGGGTAGAGCGGCGCAAAAGTGTGGAGCCACGCGCTGTTGCTACAGTGTTCGTGGCTGCTGGGCAAAAACATGAAGAAATGTAGATTTTCATGTGTCCAAATGAAATACTATAGCTTAGCAAAGAGAATGGGAAGAATTAGCATCCAAGTGGTTGCGTTAGAGCTTTGACCAGACATGCTGCGAGAGTGGGACATGTAAGACGGGGGAGGAAAAAAAGAGCACACGTGCGTTCATTGCGTTCATGCATGCTGGGTGCGAAGAGAGAAAGTCGAAGCCCCACGGGTGTCGAAAATCGAAACTCCGGCATGCGCAGTGTGTTGATATCAACACAACAGACGGTGTTTCAGGGAAGGGCCGTGGTTACGTGTCTGGCGCCAGCGCCGCTGTCGAGGGTTTGAGTGCCAGCAAGGCCACTGCCAAGAGGAGGGCACCATTGGTCCGGCTGACAGCAGGCTGCCAGCAGCCGGACCAATGGTGCCCTCCTCTTGGCTTTTATGGCACCATAAAGGGCCTTTTGCGTCTCTGCACCAGCAATGTCTCGAAAAAGCGCCACAATCGCTACATTGCTGTTCAACTTCTCCCGAACGGACCAATGGTGGCCCCCGAGAGGCGCTTTTCCATGACGCAGGCCGATTTCAATTGCCCAATCACCGCACGGAACGCCCTCCACAGGGACCGCCCTACACCCCACGAGCCCCGTTTGGACCGCCCGCCTTGACAGCACCCCAACTCATCCTTTTGTCAAATCGACAACCTGCGCATCGTTGCCGCCGAGCCAATTGTAAAAAGGTAAAAAGGCTCCACCTGACCCCTTCGTCCGACGCATCCGCTTTGACGCCCCTCCTCCCACCCTAACCGCACCCTGCCCCCTCACCCTTCTCTTGCCTCATTTTCCCCCGTCCCGCCCAACCAAACCGTACACACCATGGGTCTCTTCGGCAAGAAGCCTCAGATCATCGACACGCCCTACGTCGCCCCGCCCTCCTCGCGCGCCGCCCCGGGGCCCTCGCTCGATGATACCATCCACAGCTCCGCCATGCGCGAGGGCAACATCAACGCCCGCATCCAGAGCCTCGAGACCGACATCCTCAACCACAAGCGTGAGATGCAGCGCTCGCGCCCCGGTACGGCCACGCATAACATGTACAAGCGCCGCGCGTTGCAGGCCATGAAGCAAAAGAAGCAGCTGGAAAATCGCGCCGCTATGTCCTCAAACGCCACTTTCAACCTCGAACAAGTCAGGGATACCAAGTATATGGTCCAGGATAACATCGCTATGGTCGCAAACTTGCGCACTGCTAACCAGGATCTCCGCGCCGCGCAGCAGCATATTGACATCGACCAGGTCGAAGACTTGCAGGATGATATGCAGGAGGCCCTGGGAGAGGCGTCGGAAGTGCAGGAGGTTTTGGGGCGGTCGTACGATGTCGACCACGTCGATGAGAGTGACCTCATGGCCGAGTTGGATGAACTTGAAGAGGACTCGGTTAATTATGCCCAGGGCGAAAGCTTGCAGACACCATCATACTTGCAGCCGGCCGCCATTGAGTCTGGCGCGGCCCAAGGGCAGTTGCCACGCCCCAACTATGCCCAACCGGAATCCATGCCCGCCCAGAGATATTAGAGCCGCGTTCGTACCTGTGTAGATGGAGATGTTCGGTTAAAGCGTCTTGCGATTGCCTGTCGTTGTGAAGCAGTGGTACAAAATGCCATTACCGCTGTTGTTCAAGGGGGGCGTGTCGCGGATTTCTCTGCAACGACAATGCCCTCACATATAGCTCCTGAAGAGGGGCTACAATGCCAACATGCATTGAACGACGCCGCGCGCTTTCGTGTCGGGCGGACGACTCGCACACTTTATTGTATAGCACATCGTTTAGAGAAGCTCCACGAGTAAACTAAGCAACAAAGCCCCTTGTGTCGCTTCTCGACCTCAGTAGCCCAATACCATCAGAACGTGTACTGTATACCGAACATCTCCCCTCACAGTGAATTCCACACAATTTTTTCAGGATTCCATCACGTTTTTTGAGAGGATGTAAAGTTTAGCTTCAAATATCCGAAAGCAATCGCCGTGCACGTACACTGGCCACAAAGAGCATGGACAGAGATCAACTGTGCTGTGTGTCAATTATCCTGAGAGTTTGTTAAACGGCGATGTCTCGTCGGGGCTCGTTCACGAGACCCATAACAGGTGCAAAGGACACAACTCTCTACAGTACCACAAATCAGTATCCAGATTCTAGTTACCCGGCAACCCTGCTCATCAATATCCACTGGTCTCTGCAAAAAGAAAGTCTCGAGATTCGATTGCCTCAGCCAAGCGTCTTTTCCGTGATAACATCAAAAAGCCAAATGGAGTTTGTTGGGAGAACAACTATTTATAACTAATTTGCATCATATATACGGGCACTGTTTGACATTTCCTATTTAAACTTTAGCGTTTTCTTTAAAAACGTGAACTAAAAGAAACTGTCACTGCGAAATACGAAATAGCAAAAAGGGAGTGCAATAAACGTCTTTACAAAGGTCAACTTACCTCAGCGTCTAATGCCAACAATGGCATAGAAATGTGGCTGCACTAACACAAGTTCGAATGAGTAATTTTCTATATTCTTGTGCATGCTAGCTACCTAGCACAATGAAACCCTACAATAAAAGTTCCGATGACCCTTCTACACTACAACAATTTACACAAACGCGATCTTCAAGATGCGTTTTGCCCAGCGGCTCCCCATTTTTGTTCCCCGTCAAACAGGATCCAGCCATGCACAGCAGACTCAGTCAACATATGCTAAGGGTTGCTTAACAAACGAGCACTGGAGCAGGGAGCCCTAAGGTGTCCTGTGCTAATCGTGGCTCACTCAAGTTTAATCTTTTCAGAAAACTTCGCAAAACTCGTTGTGATCCCTGGTAGGAGAATATATAATTCAGACAACTGCCGACAAAGCGTTGGACTCCCTAAGCATTCGACGAAAAAACTCACTCTGAGACACAAACCAACAGTCAGTGTGTTACCACAAACAAGTGCGTAGTCCGTCTGCAGAAACGCTTGTCCATTTTGATGAGATCGTTCTTTGTGCAATGGTGGTTTTGGAAACACAAGCCTTAGATTTTCCAATTCAACTGCGCACATCTGCTCATGAATCACATCGCAAAGTCTGCGGGTCGATAAGCGTTTATACATTTTGATTGGGCATCAACCCTGCATGCAGCTTAGCTGTTCAGCAATGCCAGAAAGCACATCTGTTTGATGCAGATGAATTGTACGCATTGACATGCCCTTCTAGACATTGTGGATGAACGTGCCAAACGGAAGAATGGTTCGTGAGGTCTGCTATTTCCTTGAGAATTTGCAGAATGGCGTCGACTTTTACGCATCTTCACCACAACTTTCTTCACTTTTGTTTCTTTCATATGCGGTGGAAGAGTGAGGAAGCACATGTGTGGTGGCGACGAATCTTCGAGGGGAAGAGATCTACCGCTCGTCCAATACTGTAAAGACATGGTCGTTTCCAATAAGGATCTTTCAGTGGACATCCTCTCTTATCAGACATTGTCAAAGAAAAGCATTAATTCTCATCTGTTTGATGGTTCAGCGCTATTTCTAAGGCAACAATTTGGCGTACCGAGGGTGCTCTCATTGGACGCTTTCCTCTGGAACAATTGTGGTGCCATATTTGGAAGCATTGAATGGGTACCTCAACTTACTTTTGCCTTGCCTGAAACTTCTCGAGGATGGGACGATATGCCATTGCAGGGAAAGCCAGCCATGTGATTTAGGTCGCAGATTGGTGCGGCAGAAAGTTTGATAAAACAGTGCTGTGGTACAGAAGATCAGTTAGAGGATTGGTTGATGGAATGAATACCAGTGCAGAAAAGGAGCCACGTTCCTTCTCGGCAATCCATTTGTTTGAATTGTGAGAAGCACTCTCTCATACAACATCTATTTCCATAGCAGCAAAGGTCGAGGAGGTTGCATAGACATTTCCACTATAGACCGAAATACTAACACAGAGCGTCATCTGACAGGAGCCCTGGGAATCGAAAGGCTTCGTGATTTTTGAACTGGAGGCCAGTTGGGCATGCTTCACTTTGTATATTTATTAGTGCACCCGACCGACATAATCTCTTAGTAGCATGTGCGACATACCTATGACCTTGCAAATCGATAACAACCTCTGCACCGTGGAGCGAGAGAGTCAAAGAAAGACATCTAACAGCAGCTTTTGGTATCCTGGCAAAAATGGACTCCAACGCAACTTTGAGAAGTTCTTCTAGATCTGGGTCACGGTCATCTCGGTCACAGGGTAGGGGTCGAGGTTCAAATCGGCAAAACGGGAATCGTCAGTCTACCGAAGATGGTTTGGATGAGTTTTTGAGCAACCAAAAACAAGAGTTGCTTGTCAGACGGATGTTTATTATGAATCAAGGAGGCGGGAATCACATTCTCGCGGCTGAATCAGGCAAAGGGGAAACGTACGTGATAAGGCACACAATGGAACTGAAAGCGATTCATTTCTGGTATTATCAAACAGGTCTGGACCACAGGATGTTCCCCACCTTTCACGCTAGCGTCGAGGCGCTCTGGAGATCGTTGGTGCGGTACGGGGTTGAGGTGACTGGGGATTTCAGGGGTTTCAATATGCTGAACGTCAACGAAAGGAACAGTCGCGGCAACAGACCAAAGGTGACTATTGACAGCTTCATTGGTGTCCCATACTACAACTCACGAGAATCTTTGGTCGTCAAAGGAGCGCGAATTGAAGGGAGAAATGGAGAATTTGGAAACAATCCACTTTCTCGAATCGTGTATCTATATGATTCACGGGATGAGACATTCACCCTTCAGAAGAGGCGGTTCTACTTCATCAGATAAGCTGTTGACGGAAGTTGTTTGAGTGTTTACAAGTTCGTCATGCGTGATAGTGCTCGGTAGCATTTGTAAAACCCTCTCAAATGGACTTGACAACCGTGCCTTAAAGCTTTTCTGGATTGCTCATGTCAGGTAAGAAACAGGTTAGTTTTTATGTACAGTAAACTGAAAAGCAACGAGATATGGTACAAGGGTACTATCGAGACCCGAGATATTGGCGCCCTTTGGTCCTTAGAATCACAAAGTGTATGACGGACTCAGAGAGTTGCCTACAAGTACGTGGTTACTTCAATAAAATGCGACAGAGAGTTCATGCGGTGAAAACACGTCCTTCCCCAGGCGTCCATGCCAATCGTTGTATTGGATGGCCTCTTCCAATGTCTTTGCTCGATAATACGCTTAACACAGGCGTGCAAGATGGCCTCTCTTCGCGACTAACTCGAAATCCCTGTAGCAGCCCTCGTACGCGGTAGTGTGTGATATACCCTCGCGGCGATATTCTTTACTGTTTCTGGCTGAGCTGTAGAAAAGGTAGACGGGAAGATTTGTTCACACGACAAGCACGACGCCAATAATCAAAACAAAAAAGTGCAAACTGGGCTTTCGCCTACTCTTATACGTCAAGTGTTTAAACGCGGGGATCTCTCCATTTTGACAAAACCTTTGTATGCTCCATTGTGGTGATGGATAGGGATCATTAGGAGTTTACGTGAGACTTAGTCCGCCCTTTGCGCGTCAAAGCATTGGCAATCTAATCTAAAAGCTTTGAAATCTTGCCCACAAACCGTCTCGCTCCGCGGACACAACTGGTATATCTGTTAGGGGTTAAAGGGTAATATGATTAACCTACCTCTTCTCAAACAACCACACGAGAGGCTGGATTCTCCTGGTATCACCAGCACTCTTTTATGTTTAGGAGTGCAGGAACTACGGAAGACGATCCGGAATAGTTCGAAGAAATGATTAACTTGCACGAGCTTGCAGTCGGGCATTGCATCCGTGTTCGACATCACTCCTTGGAAAACGCTAGCACACTAAGTCGACGCAATCAACGAAGCCTGGAATATCAAAACAATTGCGCGACGACTCATTGGCATGTCATATTACTTCCCAACTTGTTACTGAAATGAAGTAAAGGGCGCGTGGGTGCCAGCACCTCATCATTCCAGGCAAAACAATTAGGTTGAGGCACCAGTGATGGAATTCACAAGGCATAAATAAATCTCCTTGCGGGATATTACACAACGGGGTAGACGTGGAACAGGTGAAAGGATGGATTCCGCAAAGAAAAAGTTACAGTTGGTGGTGCATTCCAAGCACTGGCTGCGTTTTTTTTTTTTTCCTTTTCGAAGTGATTCGGCAGACTTGAGACTCATTCCGTTCCCTTTCCACCTGCACATGACATACGTCTCTCTCAATACACATTGTCATATGCCCTGTTCACGTGAGGTTGTTTGTGTGTGCCTTTACACGCGACAACAGCCTACAATCAGCGTATTTGGTGTGTCCTACGTTTTACACCTGACGGATCCCTATAATAATTCAGGGAAGAAACAAACTATTGCAGAGCGACTCTTTTCCCGAATAGCTGAGCTGTTCTCTGCGTATTGGCTCCAATAGTTCCATTTTGATGTTTCGATTCCTGAGGGGCAAATTGAAGCATGGATCTCGCAAAATACTCTCTCTGCGATCGCGACAGAGATGGCCGACTTCGCTGATGTGCATCCCTGAGGAGCTCCGGAATTGAGAGCGATGTTTCAATCTCTTTCGATATCCGTTCTCGCTTTCCTTGCTGCAAATGGGCGTCATTCAGGACCGCACCGAGATCTGCGCCAGTGTAACCGTCGGTGTCTTCAGCCACCTGTCGCAGTGCTGTATCAACGTGTGGTGCAGATGGGAAGAACCCTGTGCTGAGGCTTCGGAGGATATCAAGTCGTTCCTCGACTGATGACGGAATATCCACCGGAATCCATCGATCCAGTCTTCCTGGCCGGAGCAACGCAGGGTCAATTAGTTCAGGTCGGCTGGTAGTCGCAATAATATAAACTCCTTCGCTAAGCCGTTCCGCTCCGTCCATACAAGTGAGAAGGGTGTTTACAACCCGATCTGCCACTCCTGTGTGTTCTCCACCTCTCCTCGGTGCTAAAGAGTCGAACTCGTCGAAAAGAAGAATGCACGGAGTAGAGTTGGCAGCCTTCTCAAAGGCACGACGGACCTCAGCTTCACTTTCCCCAATATACTTGCTGAGCAATTCTGGCCCTTTTACCATCACACAACGCATACGACTCTCTACTGCAGCAATTCTCGCGAGCATGGTTTTCCCACATCCCGGGGGGCCGTACAGTAGGATGCCATGGGGCAGCCTGATGGGAGCTTTGATAAATATGTCAGGACGGCTCGACGGCAGTTGAAGCGATTCCCATAGTGCACTTTTCGCGCTTTCTAAAGCTCCCAGTTTGGACCATGCCAGAGACTCCCCTTCTTTCTCTTTGCTGAACGAGATGCCAGATCTGCTTGACGGGGTCATTGACGTGAGAACTGTGGTTAGAAATCGAAGTATCTGAGTATTGTCAGCTTCCTCGCCTGTCACCCTTGCCAATTCCAGCGCAATTCTAGTTCGCTTTAAGGACACGACTATATCCTTCGGGCCGTATCCCTCTGAGAGCGCCCGTAGTGAATCACCGTCCCTTTTCATGGAGGAGAGCACGCTACTTGTCGCTGGAAGACAAAATGCACATTGCAGGCCTGTCCAGAACAAGAGCATCCTCTCAGTTGCAGTTGGTAATGGCAGGTGCACGACATTTCGAAGAATCCCGGGACTTCTCAAACTTGAATCCAGATCGTTTGCCGACTCACATGTCATGATGAGGAAGACTGGTTCGGAATGAAGCTTTTTGATGTGGTGTTCAAGCTCCCGTGCTATGGCCTGCCCTCGGCGGCCACTTTTGCCATCGGAATCGTTAGTTTCTCTATCCCGATCGCTTGCCCTACTGCCGAGCAACATATCGAGGTCATCCAAGACGATCAGACCTGGTCCTCCATCGATTGCAGCCGCAAAAGCACGTTGGATACGATTTATCGAGACTTCTTGACGTTCACCTGAATGGACCTTTCCTCGAATCCAAACTGTTCTAACGAGAGCCAGATCTGTTAATAGCGATGCAACTGCCCTACAGACATACGTCTTGCCAGACCCTAGTGGACCCTCGAGGGACACCGCTCGACATATGTTCTGCTTTTGCTTCTTCGCCAAGCGGTCTTTGAAACAACTACTGGAGAGACGAATGATAGACTCTACCGCATTACGTTCTGATGCAGTGAGGGATGATAATGTGTCTGATGGTGAAAGCAGTTGCGGTTGTTTTGGTTCCTTAAATAGATTTGCAAGCTTCTGTGGCCCAGGCCCAAGCGCACTCGACACAGTGTGACTGGAGCTTTCCAAGGGCTCTCTGGCGTTCGAAGGCTCGCAGACTGTTTGAGTTGGGAAGCTCTGTCGCCCTTCCTTGACAAGGCGCTTCTTCTTTGCGTTCTCAAGGAACTCTGTTGGATTGTTGTCATGCAATGCTGCGAACAGGTTGTCGCTAGCAGCACCTGGCTCATCGTGGATTTCCTTGATGCCTTCCCTATCCCAAATGTCTACATCTTTCTTCATGCATGCTCCCTTCTCGTTCGATGTCTCAGTGTCGTTTAAGCGGATTCGCACATCTCGTAGACACATGCCGTCGTAGTAGACACCCGAGCCTTGTATAAATTGCGTTAAAGATAAAGATATCGTAGGATTACTTGCTGGTAACTTGGTGACACCTATCTCCTTTCCACCCTTTTCAAATGGAGGCATTTCATCAAACAGAACAGGTACAAACGGTGACAGCTCTAAGTCTTTCCATAACCAAGGCGGGAGCGAGACATGCCCCTTCGGCACATCTGGATGAGACAAGAAGGCGATGGGGAGGGCAAGCTGTTTATCGGAGCCATGACCCTTTCGTGACGCGAGAGCAAAACGCAGCCCGTGAGACGACACATCGTCTTCTGCAGAATCTGCATGTAAAACAGCATGTGTCAGAGCGACGTTTTCGGGCAAGGACGGCATTGCGGCCTTCCTATACGGCACGACGCGGTAAAAGGCGGAAACTCGCTTGTGGGCTTTCCGATGCGCGCCCACGTCCACGGAACCTGGGCGCACTGGCGGGGATTCGATCTCGATCTCGGAGTCCGCCACCAGCAGTGCGTACGGTGGCTCCTGCGGAAGTGCATGGTGGGGTTGGGGAGTGAGTTTGACGACGCGCACAAGCACGGAGTCGCGTCCCGGCAATCGGAGCGGAATTTCAAGGCCTGGGTAGATGACGCGGACCTGTGCGAGAATGTTGCGCTCTAAGGCATCTGCGGTGCCGCTGAGCATGGAATACTGGTGGAGTGCCTTCTCAAAAGGGTCTGGATGCTTTGATTGGGAAGCAGGCAGATGGGGGTCGGGAATGCCGTTCGGCGCGGAAGGGAGACAAGCATCGTATGCGACTGGGCGTATCAAGGCGGATTTGACAGTGTGCTTGGGGTGGTTGTCGACGACGCGCTCGACGACTGCGGCTGTGAGTGTGGTGCCATTAGCAAGTTGGAGGGCTTGGGCGAAGGCGGGGTGGAGGCCGATGCTATAAGGCAGGTCCAGTGTCGCGCCAGTCCACGCGACGAAGAGCGGTTTCGCGGTTTGGGATTTGTGTGTTGTGGAGGGTTGGAGCTTGAGGATGACAAGGGCAGCGAAGGGATGGATGTCAGATAGGGAGGAAGCCACGGGGATGGGGAGCGCAACGGAGCAGTGGGCTGGGGTTGTAGAGGATTCGGCAGCATGGTGAACTACATGAAGCTTCATGGTCGTTGTTTGGGCATGTGCAAGGGGGAGTAGGGGGAAGCAAGCATGTTGTGGTGTTCAATAGTGGATGTTTAAGCCATGGACAGAGATGTAGCATAAGCGACGAAGATGTTTTGGGAGCAATCTGAACCTGTGTGGGTGTGGATTGACGTTGACAATCAATAGGTTTGGAACGAGTTCAAAGTGTGAGATGGGAAAACGAGACAGGACACGTGTTGACGCTGTAAAATTCGTGTACAGTACTCCTACATTGTACACTGTAATGCGGAAGTGTCGTGATGCATGCACGTGGTACACGTGTAAGATAGAAAAGGATCGAAATGAATGAGGGTGTCCTGGACAGTAACGGCAACATCGCGAGGTTGCGTCGGCAGGGACGGACAGGCGACGGCACTGGCGCATGAAATGAAACGGCTGTCTGTAACCTTCCTCCTCTCGAATGCTCTTGTTGACTTGCCCACCGTCCCGCATCCACCACGGACACGCGAATCGCACTATGTCTTCTCCATTTCTGAACGTTTCACCTCAACAGAGCAGACTATCCCTTTCCCCTACTCCCTTCCCCGCCCAGACTGGCCAGTGTCCCTCCGCTTTGCCTTTATTACCGCCACCTCCAGTGACATGGCAATCATTCCCTCATCCTTTCCCGCGTGGCTTGCTTTGCTGCATGTCTATACTTACATAAGCATGGCAATTTAGCTTGGCGAGACGTCATATACAGTTCTATATCGTCGCTTTTCTCACATGTCCCTGCTTCCGCCATACTGGCATACTTGCGGAACGACTAATTCTCAAATCCTTGAATGTGCACAACTCAACTCTGCCATCCAGTGCACCTTTAATATGTCCTAACATCCGCATCTGATCCAACCAAGTACCCCTTTGCTCTCTTTTGCTCTCTCTCCTTCGTTGACTCTGTACTCTTTTCACTTTATCAACTAATATACCCCATCAAAACCTTTCTCAAACCGCACATCGTCCCTCTCAGACCTTGCTCTCGTGCCCTAACTTACATCATGCCTTTGGTCGCTCCAACTTCTCTCTTTCTTTTCTTAGCTACTACGCTACTCTTGGCATCCATTCTCACCTCTCCCATCCTTGCAGTCCGTTTCCAAGAGCAGCGTCAAGACTTCGACCACCAAGCCCACGCCAAGCCGGGTGGCCCTTACTTCTCAGTCGACTGGAGTGGTGTTGGTTCGGTCCCGGTCACCCTCGACGCTTCCGAAAGCCACACCCACTACTTTGACATTGGCCCCCCTCCCATCTCCGGCAACATCGTCAAGTACGAATGGTATTCTACACACACCGGTGCTCTGCTCCTGTCAACAGCGTCACCCTACCTCCATGCCAATTTCTATCTGGGCGTCACTGTTCTCAAACTTATAGTCACAGATTCCACAGGTGACCAAGCAGTAGCCTACAGTTATGTATCCGTGAGAGCGCCATTTGCAGAGGAGAACCAGAGCCCCACCGTCAACTGGATTTCACCTCCCAACGGGCCTGTTGACGGGGGTACAGTTGTCACAGTCTATGGCGAGGGATTTTACAATAGCCCCGTGGTCCTTTTTGACGGCGAAGCTATCACCCCGGAGGTTGTTAGCACTGTGGAGTTGCGCTTTCGGGCACCGGCGGTTGACGGCCCTCGAACTGTGCAAATGTCTGTGTCGAACGGCTTTGGGAGTAGCGCGCAAAAAGTCGACTTTCAGTATGTTGCGTCAGGAGGAAACGAAGTGCGTTTCCGTGAGGACTTTGTCAAGACAGAATCTGGAGAAATGTTTAGCATTCCAGAGATTACCTCCCTTAAGCTCGGGCCTGACGCTTCGTACTACGCGGGCTCCTTGAGTGGATATATACATGTCTTCAGGATTGATCGGTCCCTGACCGTCAAGAGTTCATGTCGATCTGATAACGCAGGCCCCGGACGATCAATTCTCGGACTCGCGTTTCATCCAAACGAGCACTGGCCACTGAAGCTGTACGTGACTACGTCGACATTAGACTGGCCGGAAAAGTTTACGGGCGCTGACTGGAACAACGGACAGGTCGAAGTATGGAGTCGTATGAGCAAAGCAAATTGCCTGTCCAGGGCAAATGTTCTCATCACTGGCCTTCCGGTATCAGCGGATGACCATGGCGTAAACAGCCTTCTATTCAAATCTGATGGAATGCTTCTTGTCGCTGTTGGTGGATCTACGAACGCCGGGGTGCATGTGAATGACAAGACTGGCGGTATACCCGAGTCACCTCTTAGTGGAGCCATTCTGATGTTCAACTTGTTCAATGAGACTTTTGAGGGCGACATTGCCTACTCGAACTTCTTTGACCCTGGCATCACAAACGTGCAGTCAGGCAGTGTCTCGATATATGCTTCGGGACTACGCAATGTGTACGGGATGGCTGTTCATTCAAACGGGAAGGTTTATGCGATGGACAACGGACCAAATAATGGGTTTGGCGTTGCCGCGACGGGATGTAACACTGTGGGTGGGCAAGTATGGAGCCAAGACAAATTGCTTTGCATCCAGGAAGGGTCATTCTATGGACATCCCAACTGGAACAGAGGCAGATACGACCCGCGGCAATGCTCATATGTAAGCCCCAACACTCCAAGTAGCGAGGGATACACGAGACCGATGGCGATGGTTGAGAGTTCTACGAATGGAATACTTGAGTACACAGCCAATACGTTCAAGTCAAGTCTTCGCGGAGAACTTTTGTTGAGTAAGCTTTCGTGGAGCGGGAATGGTATTCTGTTTCGAGCAAAGCTCAACGAAGATGGAACTGGGCTCGTTGAACTCCCGCAAGAATTGCATGCAGATTCCGGTCTGTCCATTGAAATGGGTGCTTATGGTGAGCTACTGATGCCAAAGATCAAGCAAGCAAGCATACTAGCGTTAGTGCCTGACGAGGAGTTTGAAGATCAGCTCAATGTGATCGCCGTCGTCCCGCGGAGGGGGCCATCGTTTGGTGGAAACACCGTTCTGGTGACTGGAAGCGGGTTTGAGAGCGGGGTGAGGATATATTTTGGAGAGCTAGAATGTACGTCTTATGGGACCTTAGCGGATGACGGTTCGAGCATTGAATGCCAGGTGCCGAGATACTCTGTTGGGAGTCGAATCGTGGACGTGGTCGCTAAATACGAGAGTCTACAAAGCCATCCATCTAAGCTTGGAGAGTACGAGTACATGAAGTGGTAGGAAAAGGTTTGGCTGGCAGAAGTCGTAATGCGACGGGTCGTCGTGTTGAGGCGATTTCGATAGCAATCCATTTGTAACCAAACCATGCCTTGATCGCGCAACATAACTTTACGAGGCCGATAAGTTCCTCGCTGTAAATATGGGCAGATGCCACTTTGTGCTTCATTTCACGTGCGCTGTTTTTGAATCTGAGAGGGCGGAGATGAATCGGAGAATACGCACGCCATTCAGTCAGTTTCCCTGGGAGTGTTGAAACTTTCAACGCATCTTGAAACGTCTATGTCAATCGGAAATGATAGCACTGCACTTGATAGGAAACTTCATCATTTTGAAGAGCATTCATTTCGCTTGCCCGACGTTTCAACTCTATAACTTGCGCCTCTGGTGGGCCAAGGAAAGCCACTCGAGCTCTCCTCCACGCTGTGGACGATAAAGCTGCGACTATGCGGGCAACTGAGCCTTAGTCCTGGAAAGATGGGTTGAGTTCTTTTCAAGGGCAAAGTGTTTGACAAGAAGTAGAACAGAGCCCCCCACTCACACTACAGCAGCATTTGGCTGTCTTCCAGACTGAGGCGATGAGTCATAAACCGTATCTCGGCATCGCGCTCCTATGGCTTCCCCTGAATAGTGGCCGCACAGTGAAGGGAATCATACATCACATCTCTCTCGGATTCCTAGACTCCGGTGGGCTTGTTCATCACCGATCGATACTCAAAATGATTTACAAGGTTGCAGCGTATCGCACGATGTTACAGTAGTTGCCTCTACCAGCAATAATATATAAATCTACATACAGTCCTGCACAGCTCACTTGTGCCACAGAATCAAAAAACATCTTACATAGCGAGCGCTGGCCTCGGCCCCAAAGTCATCGACTGCAGCGTCTCCTCGCTGGTTGCGCGCCCCTTCTGGCGGGGGTGCTGCATCCTAGCGACGATATGGGGCGATTTCCTCTGAATGGCGTCGACATACTCGGCGAGTGTGGGCAGCTGTCCGGCAACTTCACGGTGCACTTCCTCACGTACCAAGTTCCCCGCGTATGTCCTCTCTGCCTCTTCGCATACGTCGAGCAATTCGCGGCCCGAAAAGCCGGCGGACAATTCGGCCATGGTGCGCAGCTCCTCCGGCGCGAGATGCTTGGCGTACAATGCAAGTACAGCCGCGCGCGTGTCCACGTCTGGTAGTGGGAAGGAGACGACCACGTCGAAGCGAGACATCAAAGCCGAGTCGATGTCTTCCTTGTGGTTAGTGGCGGCGAGCAAAATGGTGTTCTGCGGCCCGTCGAGGCCGTCGATATGACGCAAGAGTACGGAAAGGGTGCGTCGGGTTACTTCGTGCACCTCTGTCGATGAACTTCGACTGAGGCCGATGCTGTCGCACTCGTCTATGAACACAAGACACGGGCCAAGATCATTGGCCGTTTGCAAAATGTCAGCCAGCTTCCTCGTAGTCTCTCCGTAAAACTTGCTCAAAATGGTCTCCAAAGGCACATGGACGAATGGAATGCCAATGGAGGCAGAGAGGATCTTCGCCGACAGGGTCTTCCCGCAGCCCGGTGGCCCCTCGTACAAGACGGCTTTTGGCAAATTACTCTCGAATCGCTTCCGCGTCCCGCGCACAATGCTCTCGTAAACGTCCGGGTGTTTCAACGGGAGCGTGAGGGTGTTCTCAATGCTCTTCTTAACATCGTCATACCCAGCCAATGCATCCCAGGTGAGTGCCGAGTCCTTCCCGTCAAACACGTCCACACCCATCTCCTCGAGCTTTGCGCGCGCACGCTTCGCGACCAGGGCCTGGCCGCTGTCTCCGTGTGGCAGAGCCTCGACGCCATACTCATACTCCGGGTGGTGGTGGTGCGGGCGCACGCTTCGCGGGCTACGCGACCTGTCGAGGGTGGTAGGCGGTCCAATATCGACGCTGTCCTTCCCATCAAGCAAGCTCCCCCTCGCGACGGGGACCTGGGCGCTGTGGTTTGCGGGGTCGGGGCCCGTGAGGTAGAGCGCGCGCACGAGGGCGTCGACCTCTTCGGCGGAGAAGGTGGCGTCCGGGCCGGCGGCCTTGGTCAGCTCGACGACAAGGCGGGTGCGGAACGAGGGGCAGGCCTGCAAGCGCGGGACCGAGATGGCGATCTCGAAGGTGTCAGCCTGGGCGACGGTGAGGACAGTGCATGTGGGCGAGTCGTGGACGGAGAGGACCGGGCGGGCGTCGTCGGAGGTGCGCTGCAGCGAGGCGGCGAGGTGCAAGAGAAGGGCGTAGAGGTCGGCCGACGGGGCCGGGTGCAGCTCCAGCTGGAAGGCCCAGCGGGGGTCGGATGGGTGGAGAGGTCGGCGCGACGCGGTGAACGGCGGGAGGGGGGAGCGGGCTTGGACGGAGCGGAGTTGACGGAGCAGCGAGGGCCAGGTGCGGTCGGGGGGCGGCGGGGCGGGTGAGTCAGCGTGAGCGTGGGAGGTGGAGAGGGCGAGGAAGGCGGCGAAGAGGGGCGGCAGGAGGGGGAGGGCGGCGGCGGAGGCGGCGGCAGCGGGGAGCGGGAGCGGAGGGCCGCGGAAGGAGGGGTGCGCGGAGAGCGTGGCGTGGTGACGCAGGGCCGGGAGCAGGCGGCGGAGGGCGCGGAGGGAGGCGGGGAGCATTGCGGGCGGGGACGTGGGCGGGATGCGGTTTGCGGGTGGAGGGCGGCAGAGGGAAGGAGTGGTTTCGGGATGCGGGCATGACCTCGTTGATGGAGACGGGACAGGTGGTGCGGCGGCGTGGAGTTCGCTCCAGATTGAATCCCGACGGCACACGGCGCGCTGTAATCACTTTCCACGTGTACAGCACTACGCTGTTGTGGAATGCGCAAGCAAAATACGCATTACAGTATCATCACAACGCAACAGCAGAATTCTGCAATTTTATTTCGAGAATTATTGTCTCTCGTCCTCGTCATGTGACGAGAACAGCAAGAGTACTAGCGTAGCCCCCACACGTTTCACACGTTTCACACGTTTCAACCGTTCCACTTATCACAGCTGTAAACAACGCGCCACGGCGCATTCCGTCAAGCAATTCAGAACCGTGTCCACGTGTTTGATAACGCCATTAGGGAATACGGTTCTCGCTTCGCCCGACACAACCTCCCTTCCCGAAGAGAGACACAACACCGCCACCCTTCAAACCGTCTCTAACAACCCCTTCGCCCCCCCCCCCCCCCCCCACACAACGACAGGTATGACACGTGTAGAAGCAAAAACACTCCGCATGATGAGCTGAGCAAGTTTGAGTTTCAACGTGTACACGTGTGGTTTCTGTACACGGTTGCCCCCTACAATACTTCAGGAGCAAGTTTGGTTTTCGACGTGTACACGTGTGAAATATGTACACGGTTGCACTGTACAGTACAATCTGA